AGAGATGTCACTGCAGCAAAACACTATTGTACACGGTACCAACGCTGTTTTAATATAGACAATGGGTCGTGTCTCATATTATTTGTTATATTTTTATTATTCATTATTTTCACTTGACTCGCATAAATAATTTTGTTTAGAACGTTTTATGCAGTTTTACTTCGCAGCACTTCACTTGCAATTTGCAATTTCTAGTTTGTATTTCTTTAAAACTGGTATCTACTTTTGTGAATTGAATGTATGTCTGTCCTAGATGTCAGTCTTATTTTATAATCTTAAATATATTAAAAAATGATATAAGAAATGAAAAATCTCAGCACTTTAAAGACTAACTGTAAAACGATATAATTAACAAAAATTTATGAAAATTGCCTTTTGCTTTCAATTTTAATTTTACTCTACTTCATAATTTTTTCGGATAAAGCCAAACCCTAGGCCTATCCCAGTTTTATATTTCTGGTATCTGTTGGTTTTGATCGTAATGCTGACGATAATTTTGATTATTAATACAAATTTCAGAAATATAATGCGAGCTTTCGTTTCTTTCAATGGTATTTAATTTTATGAGACGTTTCGTGTTTAATTGGGTTTCTACACTTACGCCCGTATTCTGAAAACAAACTTTAGTCGAACTTCGAACTAGTACTTCATTTAGTGCTAGTTTCAACTTCAACCTCAATTTGTATTCACAAACAACGTAGTCGAAGTTTTAACTACGACTAAATCCTAGTTTTAATTCAACTGAAGACGACTGGCAAGCAACAACTATCAAACTAACCAATGAAAAGAGCTATTTTTAATAGCATACGAAATTTTAGAGATCCGGTAATGCGGATGAATATTAAGCTGCCGTCTGTGGTTCAAAAACGTATTTCCTCATAATTCATAATAGATCATCATTCGCTTAAATAATCTTCTATAATAATAACTATATTAGTTGTTAACATATTACGCATAGAGAATTTGAACATTCACTGAAAATTTGCTTTCTTTGGAGAACTGTTATAGTTGAGCCCGAGTGAGGGCGGCGCCATCTTTGTTGTTGTCATGGCGAAGCTACGTAATCGCAGCGCAAGGGGATTTCATGCAAATCAGGAACTATTGCATGTGGCTGGAAGCTGAACTTGATGTCTCTTTTGTTTAACACACCGAGGATATATCAAGCCTGCGTATACAATCGTTTTTCTTCGTTTCACTTTATCGTGAGTTACAAAAAACATGTTTTTAGTGGGTTAAATATTTCAAGTCGGCGATTTAGCCTGACCCTAGGATGACTAAATAGATCGGCCTGCGGAGGTGTCATTTTTGTCGAGGTTCACATCATTTAGTCGCAGTGCTAGTCAAGTTTGTTTTAAGAATACGAAATGACGTAATTTTTAAGTTTTAGCTCGAACTACGACTAAAGTTTGTTTTAAGAATACCGGGGTAAGACTGTTATCAGTTCCCTACAACAAAATGGAGTAGCCCTAGCAATCCCGACGCGTGGCCAACTATGGGATTAAACTGCTTTTAATGTTGTCACGTGGCCTACATGTATACGCGTTGCTTAAATTTATAAAGTGCACAATCTACTACAGTAGTGCTCAAGACACTACGTTTGTCTTTAATATACCACTTTACAACACTTGGCCACTCTATAGCATTACTAAACTGGCATATACCACTTTGCAACATTACTACATGACCACACTACAACATTACTACCTGGCATATACCACTTTACAACACTTGGCCACTCTATAGCATTACTACCTGACATATACCACTTTACAACATTACTACTTGGCAACTTCACAGCGTTACTACCACCTGGCCACTCTACTGCAACACTTCTAGTAATGTATTACCACTTTATTACTAATTACTGTAGCACCATTCTACCTGTACCTCCAAAAATAAACTTTAACGAACTTTACCTGGTGTAGAGCATAAACAGGGGGTCCTCAGCATCCAACCACTCAGGCTTGCACTCTTCACTAGCATCTGCCATCAAATCATCATACCAAAGATCACAACCTTCAGTTATGTTTGTCTTTAATAAAATAAAATGTTAATTGTAATGAATTCTGAATTTTGTATATTTTGTTTTATCTTGTCCATACTGTAGGCTATTTATATTTTGGAGTAGTATACATTATTCTTTAAAAAATATTGTTTAAGATTTTTTCTCAGTTTTTTTATTTACCCAATTAGTTTTTGTCTTGTATTTCCCAGTCTTTTTTTTTCGTGATTACTAGTTTGGGCTAAGGTGTAAAAATTATGATGCTTTTCAATTTTTTCTTTTTAATTATTTAATCCTAATTTAAAGTTTACAGCATGCTTTTCCAGTCACTCATACCTGACCCCTTTACTTACAGTAAGTGATGTGCAAGGCCTCTTGGCAGCTGGCGATGTGGGTTTCTTGCCACTTAGTGGTGCACTTGGTCCAAGATGACGGACCACAACTGTATTCTTCACATTAAAATTTTGTTCTTTGCAAAGCTTAAGGGCGCCATCAGCAATATCTTTTAAATTGATTAGCTTTTTGCCTCTATAAACACCATCTGAGTAAAGAAATACAATTTTGATTAAAAATAATGCATTCAAAAGAAAATAGATTGAAATGAGGTTCAATTATAATACATGACAGTGCTTATTTAATGAATTTTACTAGTACAGTATGTAGAAAATACATATATTTTATTATTTTGATTTATTATTATGATTTACTAAAAACAAATTTCAATTTACAAGATTTTCAATTGTTTAACAATGAACATCAGGACTAGAAAAAAAGTGAAGCATTACATGTTCCCTGAAACATTTTTACCTGCAGTAATAAGTAAACAGCATTTGCCATCAATGATCCTTTCTGCTAAGGAGTCTGATGAGAAACCACCAAACTGAAAAAAAAACCAAGAAAAAACCAGATAAATTCTGGTGGCAGTCTTCGGTAATTAAAATGCATTCATAATCAGTCTACACTGATGGAAGTTTACTAGTTTAATTTTCAAATATTTAATCAGAATTGTTTGCTCTGCACTACAATATTCAAGTCACAACACAATCAATTTTATAGTCATCATTGAGATTTCTAAATTTTGTTTACTCAGGTTTACAGGATGATTTTTACACACTAACAGGTTCACAATGCTGTTTCATTATTTTTATAGATTTTTGTAAATGCGTATTAAATGCTGATAATTTAATTTTATAACTATGGAATGCACTGCTCTGATTGCCATCTGCAAGTGTAAATTGTAAATTTGTATTAAATTTAATTGTAATGCGCATTTGAACATATTTTAATGGAATTAACGCAATGTAAATGAATAAATTATTTCTTTTTATTATTATTATTAATATTATTATTATCTGCTGCATTTTTTTTCCCCAAGAAATTTAAAACATAAATTTTATCTGATGTCCATAATAATGGTAGCTACTGCCACTTATTTGTTTTTATTCAATAAATTTCTCACAAAAATACAGAAGTGACAAAGACGAGCCAACAGGTGACGGACACTCTACAAGAGCTCAAAAATACAAAAATAGAAATACACTATAAAATGACAGTACAAACACCAAAACAAAAATTTGAAAAAAAAGATGAAAAACGTTGTGAAATAAAGGAAAAAAAACCACAACAGCAATAAAGGAAGTAGAAAAATCGTAAAAATGAATAAGGGAAATAAAATTACCATTGAAAATATAAAAATCATTAAAAAAGAACTTGCATGTTGGTAATGCCTTAATCAGAGGCTTAAATTTTATACTCAAACTTGGCTTCCAGATCTGCACACTTTTTATGTGATTCACTGATGTGTGAATATCAATAATGTAGCTTTTAATATTTATTTTTAACACAATAATGCAGATATGTACATTTTTGTGTGTGATAAAATACAACCACCAACAAAGAAGGTAAACTATAGGCTCACTGAACTGCAACCAACCAACCAATCAATGAAAAAAAAAATTACAGTACAGTATAGTATATAGCAAACAGCAGGCATCTATCATGAAATGCTTAAACTTAAAAACATACTGTATTGTACACATAAAATGCTAATTAGAAGTAAAGTGTGAAATTTAAAATTCCTATAATTATATTGGTAGTCTAATTAATACCAAACTCAATAAATACAAAGAGTATTAAATCAGCTAACTAATAATAGTCTCAGTATGATAAGCATATTTTTTTATTTTAATGGCCAAAGGTCACACTGCAAGGAGGTCAACCTATTGTTTAATGAATAATGTGTGAGTCAGATGAAATTCAGGTCTGATGGTTGGTTAAGTGTCACACTGTTTGGTTTAGCTTGCATATTCTACTCATAATTCAGCATTATTTTTGTCAAATTACATGATTTATAAGTTGTATACAACAAAAATGGATAAAGAAACAAACAGTTGTGAAAATGTTAGAAATACTATGACTTTAGATGTGCCAGATGTGGGGAGTAACCGTAGAAAGAATTGTAAGCCTGCGAAGACAATCAAAGCTGACAAACAGGAACAGGAATATTACTTAGGTGGAACATGGTTGGATGGTAAGATCAATAAAGCTATTATAACAAGCGAAGCCTTTGTGCATTATGTACTATTTTATTATTCTTAAATTATGCTTTGTCTATGTGAACAAACCTAACTTGCATACTACAGTATGTGTTGTATTGTAGGCTACAGTACAGGTCGTGTACAGTATTTTTCTTAACCTAGAATTTACAGGCTATTTCTGAGGTATAATTTTATTAAACTGTCCTGTTGCAGGCTCCAAAAATATTACTGCAAAATATGTTGTTATAAATCTCTATTAAAATCTAAAATTATATTTAAATTATATAAATACTGTAGGCCTACTGGTAGTGGTAGGGATTACTGTATTCATTTCATTTTGATCACAAATGGCAGGGATATTTCATTTTATTTTGATCATAAATAGCAGTAAAATTAACACTGAATTGTGTGTGATTTACAAATATACATTACTGTAAATGCCTTTTTTTTAAAATAAAATTTTAAAAATTGTTTAACAATGAGTACAAATTAAAATATATAAAGTAATGTTTTAATAAGTAGAGTGATATCACAGAATTTACATAAAAAACACTTATTCTACTACTATTATTAAAATACCTGTAGTAGAATAAGTACTCCCTCTTTAAAGAGACAAGGAAACAATCTAATTAAAGACAACAAAGGAACATAAAAAAGTTCTAAACATTAAAATAACACTAAAATTGAAACGCATCCACAGAAACTTTTGCTGTTATCAAAGTCTAATTATTATAGCAGTAATTATTATAGATTATGCATTGTACCTTAAAAATGACAAAAAAATCATAAAAAATAATTTTAAACTTTTGCTCGTTTTGCATTAACATACCAATTACAGTGTATTAACTTGATAGAAAGAAATTACAATATATTCTGATACCGGATAATCATAAAATATAAACACTTGCCAGTGATAAATGAAAAGAGTTTCTATCATTTTTCGTTGTAAAGTTATTGGTAAATATTATTAAATATGGTACAATTAATTTCTACGTTCAAGTTTAAGTAAGGTTTAAATTTCAGAAGTAATTTTGTTGGTATTTATCATGGGATTATACATCTTCAACGATGATGATGTGGACAGGACCAGTTCAGTGAATTGTGTTGATTTAGGCGTATTTAACAAAGGGCTAAACTGATTATAAGCCCCTACAGTATAAAAAAAATGATTAGTTTATCACCCTATCTAGGCTGGAAAGTCATGAGAGAGGGTGGTTTTTATTTCTATTTTTTTATTTTAACGGCCTACTGTAGTTTTTCATTAAAATTTTAATGTTTCCACTTACAATTGAAGTACTGTACATTAGTCTATTCTAGGGTTATCATATGAAGGGATTCATTATTTTTATCACTGCAATTTCATCTATTTTGTTTTAAACCCTTAAACCCTATTTTTTTATTTACAGTATTAAAGGGTTACCTTATGAGCACTAATTTTCCATTGATATCCAGGATTAACAAAGTTGCAATTGAATTTAAAAAAAAAAGTTTTTATTTGTCCATACTGTACATATAGAATACAATAAAAAGATGCATTCTAATAAAAGTTAATTTATTACCAAATTATTCTTAACTGTTATACCCAGTTGGCTAGGTCAACGACTTCAAATTTCTGGGATCATTCATTTAATTTTTGCCCAATTGTGATGGAAAGCTGCCATTTTTCGCAGTCCTAAGTTTTTTTCACAAGTTTGCTTAACTACTTACAGTTACTGTATGTTGTATCCTATTATTTTTAAATGATACAGGTAACATTTGTAACAGCCATTAAGGGATGCCAAACAACACACTACCTGTTCTGTCATACAAAACCATGTTTGTAAGAGACAAATCATGCTTTGTAATTCATTAGATGAAAGTTATTCTGTCTTTACAATTGTGAAAACAAAACCATGTTTGTCTGTACAAAATATGTTTTGTTATGACAACCATATTTGTGTACAATATGTTTTGTGTAAAGACAAAACCATGTTTGTCTACAAAATATGTTTTGTGAAGACAAAACCATGTTTGTCTTGTTTGTCTGTACAAAACCATGTTTTCCATACAAAACATGTACTGTATTGTGAAGACAAAACCATGTTTGTCTGTAGAAATCATTGTTTGTAAAAGACAAAAACCTGTCTGTCAGGCAAATCCAGATGCCATCCAAACATACTAAAATTCCCCCTAAAATTTTACCCTTCCCCTCACTTTCTGTCCCCCCCCCAGATTTCAGACGCTGACAAGACGCCACTGCTCCCCTCCCCTTGGATATGTCCATGGGGTCAGCTAGCCAAACGTAAAGCCTTAAAGGGTAAAAATAACATAAATAATTACTATTAAAATAGGCCTAACAATAATCCACTATAAAAGGTTGTTATTAATGTTAACACGATGTCAAGATGTTTAATAATTAATACTATGTTCCGAACTGGTTTATGTTTAGTGGGTAACCCACTTTTATTCAACCTTATTTTTTTAAAACACGTACTGTACAAAGGTATGCAATAAGAAATCGTGTAATAAAAAAACATTTTGAATATAATAAAACAAAACATTTAAATTTCATGAAAGTAATGTCATTATAATCTGTAGCCCAATATAAAAATAAAGTGGCAAATCTAAATTTGCTATCAATCCATCAACAGCAATGTCTGTCTCTTATACACATCTAACAGTACACATATATACAGTACATACATGGTTTTGTCTTTACAAAATATGTTTTGTTACATAGTTTTTGTCTTTACAAAACACGTTTTGTACAGACAAACATGGGTTTTTTTTTTACAAAATATGTTTTGTACAGACAAACACAGACATGTTTTGTAAAGGCAGAGTAATTTTCATCTATTACAAAACATGATTTGACCCTTACAAACATGGTTTTGTACGACAGGTACTTTAGTGTGTCGTTTGGCACCCCGTAGCCATAGTAGATGCATACAGCCTGAAAGCTTTCTGAATGTGTTGACTGAAGTACAGTTATGTTTCATTATTTGTTTATAGGGCTGTACTACTGTAGGACTACAGTGTAAAGCTCATTGCCTCAAATTATGTGTTTTTACACAATTTAACAATTTTTATGAATAATTCAGATAAAATAGTTTAAAAATTCTTAACAATTTCATATAATTGTATTTACATTGTGTATTCTAACTATCAGGTGCAATGTTACAGTCAAAAAATCAAACGCGACAGGCCGACAGATTTTCTGATGAAACAAGTAGCATTGAGACAGCTAGAAAAAGACTGAAGATGGAACCAGAGGAGATGTCCATTCATGAAGAAATTGATGACGGACAATTTAATGTAGAACTAGACAAACAAGAAAAACAAAAAATGGACAAGTGCGAAGAGAGAACAGTTTATGTAGTATCTTGCTGTTCTAATTGTTTGATCCTAAAGAAAGAAATTAAAGAGCTAAAAGCTGAATTAGAAAGAATTAAAAAAGATGCTATACCAGGTAAACAAACTCTAGTATGACTATAATAACATGAACTTTTTAAGACTGTCATGTACAAATTTTACATTAATTAAATTCTTTTCTCTAATTGCAGTTCCTAATCAAAGTGTTGTAGACTATTTTCAAGCTGTTATAAACACATGTGGAAAATTACCAAGTTCATCTACTTACAAAGAACACAGCACGCCACTAGAAACATTAAGTCCACCTCCTGTAAGTAAAACCATCTACTTTTCATAAATTTAACTCAGTACTCTAAAGAATATTTTTCAACAATTTGACTTGCTACAGTATACTTATGTGTGAGTAAGTGAGACAGACGCTGTAATAACAAGATTTCTGTCCTATGTATAAAGCCTCATTAAATATTAAAGAGAATTCTCAGACACCCATCTAGTCCAATGATTTTGCAACAAAATCTCTGTTTTGCTTATTTTAAATACCCCAACCATGTGACCAATGAAAATAAGAGAATGATATTTTTCGTTGAAAAACTTATACATTATTTTTTTAAGCCTCAACAGCAAGTACAACTTGTAAAAGATTGTGCTCTCTTTATGGAAACAAATGTTCTACTTGAATGCCTAACATCGGCTAGAGAAGATCCGTTGCAGCTTCTTCGCAATATCATTAGAGCGACGTTCACCCCAAATCAACTGATTGAAGCTGGAGGATTAGGTCTAAGAAGAGGTCACTCCAAAAAACCTCCCCTGGATGCAAATATTTGTCAAACACTAAAAAGTAAGTACCGAGGTCTTGTTTTATCAATCTACAACATAATTTTTAAAATTCTAATTGTTTTAAAACAATAGTCTACTCGATAATTATTGTACTGTTTTCAATCTCTTTGTCAAATTATTTACTAACTTGAAAAAATTGATAAATTAAGTCCAGGGATAAGAGGCAATACAGTATATTCAACAATTAATCTTCAGGAATTTATCTGTAGCCCAATATAAAAATAAAGTGGCAAATCTAAATTTTCTATCAATCCATCAACAGCAATGTAAAGCTTCAATTAACTCAATGCATGTACACACTCTTCATGCATTTCAGATTATCAGTAAAATTGTAGTAAAACAATTTGTCTATTTAGTGGTGGTATGTGTGTGGTATTTAATGGTAGTCGATTAATTTTTCAGCCTACATATTCAACTGGTGCTACAAATATGGGAAATCAGTCCCTAAGGAAAGAGATCTCAATCGATGTTTTGCTGATACAATAACGTATGCAAGAAGGCAAGCAACTCGGGAAGAAGAAAGAAACAGACAAGGGCATTTTTCAGCGTCACAGCGTGACATTTTAACAGAAATTTCTTCACTTAAAGTAGATTAACAAAAATAATTTACCTTTGGTGGACAAAACTGGCACCTAATATAGGCAGACCCAGAGTACAATATAAGAATTGACTAAACATTTGACGATTTGTCTAAGACTATTGTACAAAAATGCTGTATTTTTTTTTTTGATGAATTAACAAATTATGCAAAAAAATTACTCTAAAATAAGTACAGTTAATTATATTTTTTTAATTAAAACCACAAAGTTTGAATACTTTTTTTAATTTTCTTCTTTTAATAGCTTACAAAAACATGTGCCAAAAATCACTGCTCTAGACAGACTTGGCAAATTATGTATCAATATGGACTTTTGATTTTCTGAGCACAGATCTTTGTGTACATGAATTCGTTTAATAAAAAACAAAATCACTGAATTTTTATAGTGAGTTTTACCTTCAGATAGTGAATATAAACAAAGCAGTAAAATACCACCACCATTATCTTCTATTGTTACACCAGTTCTAAACCAATTTATAATTGTGATAGATGATAATATCCTAATCCAATACTCTGGTAACAATACATGCATGAACACTTTTATATAAAAAATTTGGTAATATTGGCGTAATAAAATGATTTTCTGTATGATACTCTGGCAAGTCATTGGTAACATAAATAAAAAAATTGCAACTGTAGGCCTACCGCACATACAGTACTGTACATGCTACAACAATAATTTCAAAGATTGCTGTTTTTTAATGTACAGCATAGCCCACAATTGCTAACACTACATAAATGAGTTTAAGGACAATAGGTCCTAGTTTATTATTGTGCATTGTAGTTTATTACTATTTACTGTATAATAGTAATCCAGAATACTGAAAAATTTCTTAAATGTCAAATTCACCATTATCCTAACAAATTTGTTCTACCATCTCAAACTTGTCTTACCCTGGTATTCTTAAAACAAATTTTAGTCGTAGTTCGAGCTAAAACTTCAAAATTACGTCATTTCGTATTCTTAAAACAAATTTTGAATTACGACTAAATCAAGAGAACCTCAACTAAAATGATACCTCCGCAAGCCGATTTTTTAAGTCAGCCTACAGTAGGATCAGGCTAAATTACCAACTTGAAATATTTACCCCACTAAAAACGTGCTTTTCATAACTTACGATAAAGTGAAGTGAATAAAAACGATTGTATAAATAGGTCTTGTATCCAATGTGTCCAATAAAAGGGACATTACGTTTAGCTTCCAAAAGGCGAAATTAACATGTTTTGCTAGCTACATGCAACAGTTCCTGATTTGCACGGAATCCCTTCGCATTGTGTTCACGTAGCTTCACCACAACAACAAAGATGGTGCCACCCTCGCTTGACCTCAACTACTGTATATGAGTTCTCCAAAGAAAGCAAATTTTCAGTTACAGTTCAAATTCTCTATCGTTAGATGTTAATGACTATTATTATTATTATTATTATAGAATATTAGTTGAATTATGAGGAAATATGTTTTTGAAACACAAATGGCAGTTTAATATTCATCAGCGTTACCGGATCTCTAAAATTTTGTCTGCTATTAAAAATAGCTCTTTTCATTGGTTAGTTTGGTAGTTGTTGCCTGCCAGCCATCTTCAAATGAACTACAATAGGACTTGATTTAGTCGTAGTTAGAAAATCGACTATGTTGTTTGTGAATACAAATTGAAGTTGAAGTTGCAACTAAGACTAAATGAAGTTCTAGTTCAAAGTTCAACTAAAGTATGTTTTAAGAATACGGGCATTATTCATTTTCTTTATTTCAACACCATCCAGTCATGTAATTTATTTTTACTTTAATGATTGAGATTATAGAATGTCTAGCAATACAAATTACCTGATCAACAGTGGAGATCCCGATTATGTAGAGAGAAGCAGTGAGAAGAGGAGCATGCGCACATACTCTTGAAAAAAGTGCTTCCATTCCAGTGTTAAATTTGCTATTCTAACGACAACATGTGGTTGGCATAATGGTAAATTTAACCATTATTATGTTTCCACTTCCATTGACTTACTGAAAACGCGATTAGCTGATATCGAAAGCCAGCCATGCGAAAATTCTAAGCAGCTGTGAGTACGATGCGATAGGCTCAAGTCAAGTAGTTTACAGTAGGTGACTACCAAAGTAGGCTAAAAATTAAAAAACTATTAACAATAACGTACAGTAGCTATTCCAATGAACTGTAACAATCAACTCAAAAAATTAAGATTGGCCAGTATAGAAGATTGAGGCTAAGAAATGCTAAATAAAACAGAAGAAAGGTTCAATTTTTTTTTTTTGAAGTTCTGGCTAGGGTATGCACTACTGCATACCTGTTTCAAAATAAAGCTTTTCATAATAATGAGTTAGACCAGGTCTATCATTTGGACCAAATAAAAAAAAAACTGTTGTGTTGCCCTTAAATGGAAAAAATCGAGATCGTTGGTCGGTCGGATTAAAACATTTTTTTTTTTTAAATATATTTTTTTTTAGTAATACCTGAAATAGGATAGGCCTCAAACTGCAGTCCCTATTATGAAGATCCTAGGCACCACAATAGAATGATGCCAAGCTTGCCAAACAAAAAACATTCAAATTAATGACAGAATAAATACTAACCGAGTGTATATTGAAATGAATTTATCAAAAGTATATCTGTTTAAAAAAATATTTATTTGCCTTTGAAACGTAAAATAATTTGTGCATCCGATCCATACAGGCAGGTCGAGCAAAACCATACCATGGCTATAAAAAAATGGCCAAACAAGGCCCTCTATGTAATACAATTGTAGTAAATTTTGAGAAAAAAAAATATTTCGTTCATGGTTGGCCTAAAACCATAACGGAGCCTAAAATGTCTAGCCATGTACTGGCTTTAAAGCGATGGATAGACCTAAGCCTGTTTTTATTTATTGTCCAATATACCGTAAGGTAATGAATACGATTTTTGATTCAAGCAACCACTAGTTGTACAGTAGTAAGGAATAGACTAGGCCTAGATCTAATCGTGGCTTAACAGCTCAGCGCGAGAGATTCAATGTTGCGTGTATACATCCTCGTCATCATGCTCGTTTCTCAAAACTATGCCTTCTATTTCACCGACTTTACACGTGCATTGGCCCGAATTTAGTAAAAATACATCTTTTATGTTCTAAATGTTAATTTCGGAAGTCGTATTTCTCGAATTTGTACTTAAATGAAAGAAAGACCTTTGAACACAATTATATATATAAAAAAAAGCCGACCATATTTGTTGAAAAATTTTGGTCGGTCGTGGTGGGCAACACAACATTTTTTTTTTTGGCCTTAGCTTCATAAATGGGCAATTCCATAAATTCGGACGTACATTTCAGACACTTAGTGAATCTATATTTCCATAATGAAGCTTACAATTTATTTTTTGCATTACATCTACTGGTTAGTACTATCAGGCCCAGAAATTTTATTTTTAACTCTCATGCGTCACGGAGATACGGGTCAAAATGACACCGTGACGGACACCGTAATCAGAGAAAGTGACTTTTCCTACTTCACTATACTTTTTTTAAAAACTCTGTGATGTGCGAGACATTTAAAAAAAATATTTCCCTGTTGTTTTCCACTAATGTGTGGGCTCTCTAGCAGAATAAAAATTTATTTTAATTTTTTTCATTTTCTGTACGTCCGTCAATTACTGTGACGGACGTACAATTTTATTGTGACGGACGTACTTGTCTGAATTGTGACGGACGTACACATCTAAAAATACAAAAATATCTACAATCTAAATTATTTTATTGATTAATTAATATACTGGTATGCTTATATGATATAAAAGTACAAAAATATACTGGATTTTAAACTTTTTTTTAATAATGAGTGTAAAATACAATGAATCAAATAATTTAGGTTATTTTGTGTCAAATAATCCTCAGTTAACCTCATTACCCTAGTAGCCCGACCATGTTTTGTATGCATTTGAGGTAAAGAGAATATTGACTTTATAAATTGGTTCAGGGTGGCGCTAGAATCATTTTGGCTTGGTAACACGTTTTTAAAATGTGGCAAAATGTCAAAGGTCAGGGTCAAAAGTCATAGTAATAGGGCCCTTATATCTTTGCAACCACATGTGGTAGAGAGTTAAGTTTGGTGCCAAGTTGTTCAAAACATTTATATTTCTATTTGCTACAATAGAATATTTTGTTAAAAAATGACAGGACATGCCATTTCTGACCTTTGACACATCTCCGGGTCATATTCACAGGTTTTCATATCTCCGTAACCACTGGTGGTATCCAGATAATTGTGGTGTCAATTTGTTCAGAACATTCATTTAAACAGATTATGAAGGAGTTGGATCTAAATTTGTAACCAGGAAAAATTATTATTTGGTTCCCAAAATGCACTTTGTTATTATTAATTAATGCAGACAATTAAACTAGTGAAAGACTACATACTGTACAGTACTTGATCTATTAATCCAAGTTCTAACTTTTGGTGTCAACTTCTTCATTGTATAAAGAATCCTGCAATGGGCAAGTTTAGATTTTAAAGGTTCTGGAGTTAGAGATTATTATAAACACCTGTAATGTATAGAACTATACATTTTTGCAATACAAGAAAAATCATAGTAATTGTAGTTAATCAAGTAGACTGTATGGTCAGTCATGCTAAAAGGTGTCTTCTCTTACATATAATAATATCCTGTAATTTGAATATAAAAAATAATATAATCATGTTAGCTGTAATTGCAATTACAGGACATTGTTATTATGAAGTAGATAGAGTAGCCATGTTAGTCAAGATGATAACATTATTATGTAATTTGTGTATTGCCTGCCTGGTTTTTATTGGATACTTGCATAAAATTTTAGTTCAAAATTGTTTTTTATTTGTAATGTAAGCCCATGGTACTGAAATATGTGCATATTGCACACTGTTTGATAACAATAAGACAAAATGTGCTTCAGGGAGGAAAATTATAGTAAGCCTAAATTGATCTCGACCAGAAACTCAAGTATGGGGCTCATACCCAGAATTTTCCATGTTATTCCATTATGTTTTGTGCCCAACATGTAGCCTACTGTAACTTCAGACACAAGACACATTGACAGTTTCATATTTTCACCATATTTCATAGGTTATAACACATTTTACACAGCGTGACGGACGTACAAAAAAAATGTACGTCTGTCACATGGTTTTGTTAATTAGTGTAATTAATGGTAGGCTTCCAATTTGCTGTATACACTTGGTATATCTAGTATGTTTTGGTAATTTCTTTGTACCTGGTTAGAAAAGGAAATAAACAAATGTCATTTTCTTGTGACGGACGTACATCCACATTTTCATTATTTTTAAATATTTAATTAAAAATATGGCATTAATTACAAAGTCAAAAAATTTCACCAAATTACACAATACATACTAATTCTTTATTTTAATAAAAAGTGAATCAGATTCTGATATTTTGCAAGGAAAAAAATTGGAAATTAAAATTATAACATTTTCTTTAGTATTTCAAAATATTAATTGTATTGAATTCCAATTATTTTCCATGTGGTTAGTGAATTCTTAATTTTTTTTTTATTTCACAAAAATATAACTCATTAGCTTCAAAATGATGTATCACACAAACACATTTGATGTATTTTAATTTTTTACCATTTGGTTTACTAATTTACGGAATTGCCCAAATATATAATTTGTTCTATTGTATAAAGGGTAATTCTGGCTTAATTCAACCACCATGCCATGTGATTCCCCACCTTGGATATTCCTTTAAAAAATTCTAAAAAATCCAAAATTTCCACTCCAAATTCAAAGCAGTTTTTAAGTTCCGACCTTTTGAAATTTAGGTACCATGCCCCCTTTCTCATGCCAGTAATGGCTCCTTTAACTTTGTACGGTTTTTACGAAGCTATATCTCCTGGAATAACGAAGATAAGAAGTTGAAAATTGCTACATAGACTAATATATTGGCCCCTATCTTTCTGGAAATACCATTCAAATTTTATATAGCATATTTCATTACAATGTTATACGCCACCAAAAATCTCTGAAAGCATTGTGTGAAAATAGAATTTCACTTTTTTGGAGGGCTGTATCTTATCATTCTTTAATGTAAATTGAGCAATAATAAAGGTATGATGGGTTCCCGAACATGGTTGCAGGACCATTTACCGTAAAAATACTCCCTACTTTGACCAGCCGGATGACCCTGTGGACACTTTATACCATTATACAGATACACATTATTATCATCATTGTAAGTAGAAAGTTTAAACTTTGTTTCTTAACTCCTTCTGTGTGAAATGATTTTATTCAAATAGACAAATTTTAGAGTATTATAAATATCAGGTCAAAGTTCAAATCACATACAAGTCAGTATTTGTGATATAAATATAGGCTTAATATAATAATGTAATGCTTTAGTCATTTATGTTTACTGGTTTCTACAAGTCATTTAAATGTTATTTGTATTATCTTAGTAGTCATCAGTTGGAGATACACATCTATTCCAGTGACAGTGGTTTAGGCTGCTTTTGTGCTTTTCTGGCAGCTAATGACTAGGGTATTTATAATGTATTGGTGACGTTTGTTTGATTTATTGATTTGTATTATATTTTGTATAGTGTCTCTTCTGCCTGAATAAATAATAATAACAACATACTGTATTAATACTTAACTAAGCGGAGGACATCTCAGAAATATGGCTAAGCATACATTCAAATATTCTCACGACGTTATACTTAAGATTAGACCCATGGGCATAGGGCTTTAGTCTAGCCTTCCAAAGTCACTTTTTTCAGATGTACATTGCATAGTGAGTGTATAATAGCAAGAGAACAAAACAGTATGCCTCTTAAATATGTTTTCATGTTTTTCATGCTCAAGCATTGTAAAAAGGTTAGGATATTGGAACAGTTATTCCTAATATTTATATTATGTGTGTAAATTGGGTATTATCAGTTTAAAAGGACTGAAACATTTACAGTACACCTAAATTCCATTTATCAAATGATGTGCTACCTACCACATTATGATGATTTCAAAATGTTGAATTATAATCTTTCCCATCAATTCTTAGTTTCCTTCACTTATACTATACTTCTTTCTGAAATTGATAAATAGGACTTCTTACCACAATAGAATGGACAGCACCAATCCTGGCACAAGCCAACATGGCCACAACAAGCTCCACAATCATTGGCATGTAGATAGCCACATGATCTCCTTTCATGATTTCTGTAAAAATGATAAACACATTACAAGTTCAGATTTCCATGGGCATGACAAGATGTCAATGAAATACACTATCTTCTGACTTGTATGCAGTCAGACAGGAGAGAAAATAACATTTACAATTTTCTATTAGTGCTTGTAGTTGCGACATTGCGAGGTGTTGCTGGTTGATAGCCCTGTCTAGACTATATTTTATTTGAAAAAAACCCCCAAAAAACACATGCAACATGCCTAAAACATGATGACATCACATCATGACCATAGGCACATCATGAGTATACTTGGGCATAGAACATTGTTTGTCAAATAAAATTAAAATTAATTCATTCATTAAAGGTATGTTCACACACACGGCGTAAGGCTGGCGCAACATACGCCTCTGTTTGTGAACTTTGGCGTTACTATGCCACCCGCAATGCCACGTCTGTGGCGTTGTTAACACCACCCGCAGACCCCAGATTACTGTAGTTAACGCCATGGAGCTAACTAATTTTGGCTTCAAGTCAAGAGATTGAACAATCATGGATAGTTTTGCAATAAAGAAACAAGCTACTTCAATAACAAGCAAGCGACCAACCGCTTTTGTTGTTAAAGTGTTTTTGTATTGTTTAGATAAATCTTAATTGTAACATTGGATAATGGCTCTTGGATTAAATGCCAAAGAAGTTCCATCCTCAGAATAGCTAATTGAATGTTTGGTACCAAAATAATTCTACAAGCTTTTTTTATCCAAATATCTTTGAGTTTTACAATACAAATTGTTTTAGCAGAGATATGAAGCTCCAAAAAGTATTAGGACATCCTGTATTATGCATTGAATTATGGTAATTTATCAGAAAAAGTGCAAGATTTCAAATAAGTGGCTCAAGATTTTTAGGTGCCTAGTGATTTGTTCTTTATGCACCAAACTCATGCCAGATGTCGAGACTTGGTAGCTATGCCTGTCACAAAACGAATGCCACTTAAATGGTATTGGTTTTGGAAGCCATCTCTGAGAGGCATGTTGCATGTGGCAATCATTGAATCTTTTGAGGTGAGATGACATTTTAGCTACACTGATCTGAAAATTTCTAAGTACTGTAAACACCAAATGAAAGAACTTACTGAGTGATTTCAAAACATTGGCAAACTTGCAGACTTGCTTGTACAAGTTTCCATAAGTGATCTCACTGTAGTCATCAGGATCATTCCCTTCCCTGCCAAAAAAAAAAAAAACTTAAACACCTAATTTAATTTAATGGGTAATCTGGTTATGCATAATATTATGGGCAATTCCATGGTCACAGACCGACTTTTTAAGGCATTCATAATGGTAAAAAACTGTTTAAATATTACAGATAAACTAGTAAATCTGAAATTCCAAGTAAATTTTATACTCCTTCCCACACACTTTTAATTGACAATATTACAAAAATCAAAACATAAAGTCATTTATAAAATATTGATATTAATATGTTTGGTCACAGACCGACTTAAAAAAAAAGAGAAAATTTTACAAATATAAACTTTGTGCAATTCTATTGAAAATATTACGAAAAGATTTATGGTAACACATCCAGTATGTAAAATCATATATAAGGAATTAGTATCAACAGAGAAGGTGATGTAAAACTACATCATGGGGATGGCAGGGTAGAGGGTACCACCTTGGGTCTGGTCACAGACCGACGGTCACAGACAGACCTATCGATTTGCATGATAGTATATGATGGAATCTGGCACATTATAAGGAGAAAACACTTTATATATAAAATTAAACACTAAAAACTTGTTACCAAACATTGTATATAAAAAAGCATAACTTGATTCCTTATAGTAAACAAAAATTTATTTTGTAATAAAATCAGATTATTTAACATATTAAGAATGGTATTATTTACCTAATAAACGTCACAGAAAATAGTCTTAAGCAAAATCATGATTGCTTGGATGTTAATTGATCTGACCCAGTTAATAAATACTCTAGTATTTAATGAAAAAAGGCATATTAAACCAAGAAAATTATGAAATGCATTTTATGCATTATGGGTATCTGGAAGTGTTTTCATATCCTCCAAGCGACCATCAAACATGCTCCATTTTCCATCTATGGTTGCCTTTGAAATAGCATGGTTCTTTTCTTTAGATGTTAATGGCAATGGTGGCGCCAGATGTTTGCCAATAAGGGGTCTGACGTGTCTGATGCAGGGGTCCGAATCAAAGCGACGACAAAGCCTCGGTCGATAGCCCGAAACAAAAAAAAATCTCTGTTAGGGTTCTTGAAGGGAGTTTTTATGGCTTATTTAACCCTAAATGTTTTTTTAGACCACAATATTAGGGATTGGCAATCAAGATACCGTTATTTGGATTGGAAAATTATTATTTAAAAAATTTTTTGCTCCGACGACCTATTCGTTCGTCGAAAGACAGGGGGGCCCGGCCTTCCAACAAAGAAAATTCCCCCACCCCGCTGACGCCTCCGCTGGTTAATGGCATAGAGAATAGTAACTATACAGTATTTAAATGTTGAAATCAAGATCTATACTGAGTGATAAACTACAGCTTTATGTATTTGAAAGATTTTACCCACTCAGCTTCCAACTACTTAGTCACATGGTAATAATATACCCAATTTGGTGGTTGTTGAGAACTCGATTATGAAGCAAATCATTGTTATTTTCAAATAAACCACTATATGTCCTTAGAACCTTTCCCAGGCCCATGTCTTTTGTCATTTTAATTTTGTTTATTGAATATAACCAACTTTAATACAGTAAAAAGTTTGCTTAAAGATTTGGTCACAGACCGACTAAAATTAATGTAATAAAAATATGAATAAATATTAAAGTCCAAAAATTTAAATAATCTTGTCAGTGAATGTTAGCCTAATAGCTTCAATAGTTTTATGAATTTCACAATGGTTGAAAGCTGCATGACTTAATAAACCTAAAAAATGTTGTTTTTTTGGGTAACAGACCGACAAAAATATTAAGAAATATTTTTGCCCCGCCTTAATATTTTGTTGTAAATGAATATTACTTTTTGTCGCAAAAACTAATAAAATAAGTTAAGTTCTCCAATTTAAAATAAAAATGACTGGCCTAAATGGCAGTTTGTTAGTTTCTAGAGACTTTGAAAAAACATGACATTTTCATATTTTTTAAATATTTTCAAAATTATGTAATTCTAATTGCTATATATTTTTATAAACACAAGAAAAGTTTCATCAATGAATCCTAAAAATTCATTTTTTAAGCTTTAGTTTGATATAAAACTTGTTTACATTCCTCAAAGTTGAAAATTTGCTAAATCTGAAAAAAAGTCATGGAATTGCCCTTATGGGCAAGGCTACAAAACCTTATATTGGACAGAAAAACCATGTATATATACAAAATGTGGACATAATTTATAAAAGTAATGATGAAGGTCTTCAATTGATTAGATTTGTTATGATCTTAATTTTGAACATGGAAGTAGATTATAACAGTTAACAAAAAACCTAACAAACTTTGGAAAAGTTGCATGTTTTTGTTAAAAAGGGCAATTCCACGGTAACTAAATGACATTCTGACACAGATTTGTATTTTTAAACACATGTACCACAAGGTAATTTTGCCAATAATCTAAAACAAATACATTAAAAAAAAAAAAATCACTCTACAATGATGGCAACAATGTTCTCATTTAGATAATGGACAAGTTGCATCCACTCGAATTAGGATCCACTCACGGTATGGCATTCCCATCTGGTAAAACTTAATGAACCAATGCAATTCAAAGGGCGCACACCTCCATTCTTGAACATAGCACGTACGTAGTCCTTTGATCTTTACTGTGGCATCGACAATCCGATACTAGTTGCAAGTACAGCCGTTAATTAATTAGTCTAATTCGTGCCATAAGTTTTATGATGTTAGTATATTTTATATTATTTTGGGTACTTTGCAAAGTCTGTTACATTTGATTTCTTCTATAAACTATAATTTGATTCGTGAAAATTGACCAACAAAATGTTATTATAGCAATTGAAAATTTACAATTTTTATAAAATTTCATGTTCTTATAACATTCATGTCATTTTGACAATGTTGGATTAAGGTGCACAAAATGAACATTTGAGTAGATACAGAAAATATATTTATTTTTTCTGCGAAGTGAGTGTCATGAACGACAATACACCACAACATCTGTAAAATTGATGTTGAAATAACAATACATATAATACTAGAAATTGCAAATTGCAAGTGAAGTGCTGCGAAGTAAAACTGCATTGTTCTTCGAACAAAATTATTTATGCGAGTCAAGTGAAAATAATGAATAATAAAAATATAACAAATAATATGAGACACGACCCATTGTTTATATTAGAACGGCGTTGGTACTGTGTACAATAG